CCCTTCTTCGAAAAGGATGTGCTCCAGTTATAGGGGCATTACTCTCCTTAGCCTCCCTGGTAAAGTTTATTCAAGGATACCGGAGAAGCGAGTCAGATCGCTGGTTGAACCTCAGATCCAGGAGGAATAATGCAGGTTCCACCCTGGCTGCACCAAATCTGCTCTTTACTCTCATTAGGGTCCTCATTCAACCTTTTGTTTATACAAATTAGTCTCAATGAGTTACAAGGACTCATTATCAAGAGACATGTTTTAAACAAAAAAATAAACAAAACAAAAAAAAAACAGCCCATCCGCTATTTGTGTTTCAGCATTGATTAGTTTACAAATTAAGCTGTAGCTGCAGATAATGATGTCTTGAGAGCACATGCTGTAGCTGCACTGACGACATGACATTTAGGGGGAGATATATGAAGACAGCAGAACAAGGAATGATTTAATGATGAAAATGTACCAGTGTGAGAGTCTGCATGAAGTTAATGATGACCAGTTGACCAATGTCTACAGAGTGCAGTGATGGGTACAATAGTTACAGACAGTTATAAATCTTAGCACACTGTGATAGACAGCCTCCAACATCTGCAAGGTGTTTGCAGGAGTGTTCATGTCAATAATGTCACTGTAGTCAATGGCCGGAAGAAAAGTAGCAGTTACAAGGCATTTCCTAGCATTCAGAGTTAAACAAGATCTATTTATAAAAAAGAAACCCAATTCTCATATCAATTTCATTATCAAGTTTTCAACATGAGGCTTAAAAGAGAGATCTGCATCAACGAAGATTCACAAGTATCTGAAAGAATTGACAATTTCAATAGGAACACCACTCAGAGAATATAGAAGGAAGGACTGCTGGTACCATCTTCCTGTTTGACAACAACATCTATTTGGTTTCCTCAGCATTTAGCACCAGCTTGACATGGAACAAGTCTGACTGAATTATGTCAAATTCAGACTGTAGAAGCTGGAAAACCTTGCCAACCATGTTAGCTCAACAATAAACAATTGTATCGTCAGCATAGAAATGCAAGGAGGCGTCAGGAATGTTTTGACCTACATTACTTATATAAATTGTAAAACAAAAAGAAAAAATGGGTCCTTAAGAAGTGGAGAGAAGAAGTGGAGGTGGTGGAGAAGTCTAAATACCCGGGGTTCACCTGGACAACAGACTGGACTGGAAATGCAACAGTGAAGCATCTACAAGAAGGGACAGAGCAGACTGTACTTCTTGAGGAAGTTGAAGTCCTTCAACATTTGCAGCAAGATGCTGCATATCTTCTATAAGTCTGTTGTAGAGAGCACCATCTCTTCTGCCATCATCTGCTGGGGGAGCAGCACCAGAGCAAGTGACTTAAAAAAGATCAACAAGCTCATAAAGAAGGCTGGCTCAGTTCTGGGGACTCCTCTAGAAACGTTGGAGATGATTGTTCAAACAAGGATTCTTCATAAAATGAAGAACATTATAGACAACCCTCAGCATCCTCTTCATCAGACTGTCATACAACAACAAAGTGTCTTCGGTCAGAGGCTTCTTCAGATCTGTTGTAGGACAGACCACTACAAGAGATCCTTCCTGCCCACAGCCATTAGCATCTATAACAACTCCAATGAAACCAGGATGATGAGTTACAACAACATTTAATTTCCCTCTGGGATTAATAAAGCATTTTTGAATTGAATTGAATTTAAACTGAGCCTTGTGGCACAACATTAGTGACCATTAATTATCTAGATGAAGTACCATTTTCTCAATGACATTGCCTCCGGCCTGAGAGATAGTTTGAAAACCAACCAACAGTGTGATCTGAGAAACCAATAGCCGAGAGCTTATGGCATAGATGTCATGATGTACAGTATCAAAGGCTTTGGACAAGTCTAAGTGCAGCACAGTGATCCTTGGAATCCAGTGCTTCAACAACATTATTAAAAAACTTCAATGAAGTGGTCATTGTGCTGTGTTGTTTCCTGAAACCAGATTGATGGGAAGACAAGATGTTAAAAGAATCCAAATACTTCTTGACTTGAGTATTTATCAGTTTTGCTAAAACTTTAACCAAACGGTTAAATTTAGATGAGACTAATGCCATGGTGAGTGTTAACCTCTGATACCAACTGGAATTTTTATTAAAGCTTTAACATTTATTTCAAGTCAACAAACTTCTGTCTGAATGGCAGTTTTTGAGTTGAGTGCATGAAACATGAGTTTAGTTGAAGGTCACAGCTCACTCTGGCCCGTCTACACAGACTTTCATCTCTCCTACAGTCAAACCACAAAAACTCTGAATGCAGTTCACCATGTTGAGTCGGAAGACTCAGACAGAGGAGAATAACCAACTGAGCAAAAACTGAACAAAGATCTCCATCTGTTGGTCAACCACGGAGAGCAGCAGGACGTCTTCTTTCTTTCATTGTAACGTGGATCAAAAGTTTTTTGAAACTAAATGACATTGTTTCATTCGGTAAAATAAAAAGAATATAATGTTTTTTTTTAGACTTTTTTTGCAGCAGGACCTGCGTCTGAAGCAGCAGAATGTACTTTCCTGTGTATGAACATCAAGACGTGCTTCAGCAGATGATGCGTCCCCATCAGAGTCCTGGTCAGGAAGTCCACGTGAGACCACAGGAAGAGACACAAGCAGAAAATTACTCAGTCCATGGAGGAAATGAGCAAATGTCATGAAATGCAAAGCAGTGTCCACCAGGAACTACGGAAAAAAAAGAAAGCATTAAAACATTTGGAGGGAAGCAACATGAAGGACCAGTCTGATGTCATAAATGAAATAATATCATTGTCCAGTTTATGAGTTTTCATAGAAGAAAAAACAAAGATGGGACTTGCATCGCACGCTGACTCAGCATTTCATTTAAAGCTGTCTAACTTTTCTAAATAGATAAAACTGATTTAA